AGGCGCGCGCCACCCCGCCCGGCCAGCTTCTGCCACTGGCCGCACAGACAAGGTCGGGGCCTCCGGGTGTTAGCCCGGCAGGCTCTTTGCTCTCCCGTCGATGGGGCGAGGGCCTGGGAGAAGGGAGGACGCCGGTTCCGCTGCCAGCCCCCCCACCGGTGCCGAAAGCCCCACGTCCCGGGCAGACCCAGGCGGCGGCCGTCCTGTGATCGCCCGGGCTCGGCCCGCTGCCCTGCCGAGGGACCGGGCGCCCACGGTCCGCCTCCGGACTCCGGGTCTCGACTTCCCCCGTGAGCGCGCTGGGCCCGGAGCACTCCCTCATCCTGCGATGGCGCAAGGACCTCTGGCGCCAACGGCGACATCCGAGGGGAAGTGCCCCCAAGCAGAGCTGACACCAGTGCTCCTTCCCGATACTCACGTGCCATTCCTCATTGAACAGACGCTTAGGGAGCACCTCCCAGGCGCCGGGCTCTGAGGGGTCTGAGGAACACTCACACTCAGTCCCGCGAGAAAAGCCAACATTTAAGCAAGGAACAGGCCAGAGGTGGGATAAAGGGTAGGCCCAGAAAGGGCAGGAACTACAGAGTGGGTCAGCCCAGCCTGGTCTCCTTTGGGGGCCACGGTCAGCCCCTTCTCCACACCCTCCCGTCTCCAGGCCCACCCCACCGAGTAAAATAGGTGAGGCCCAAGAGGGAGCCAAGACCGGGTCAAGGACAGCCACCTCTGTCCACAGATCACAGCGGACCAGAAAGGGTGATGCTGAGTTATCTCTGACCTCCGCCTTGCCACGGCAAGTTTGCAGCTTGCAAAGTGCCTCTCTCCCTTATCACAGCAGGACCTCACGACAACCTTGTGCTGCCCATGTTACAGACGAGGAGACTGAGGTTTGGAGAGAACATTGCCAGCCTGATCACAGTCATTAGGTACTCCCGGGACCTTGTATCTGGATTCGGAGGCCGAGCCAGAGCCTCTCAGGATGGTGGCATCAGGAGAGATGCTTTGGAAACACTGGGGCGATAGTCACGTTAAAGGAACTTTTACCTTACTGGTTGCCTGTACGTTTACTTATCGAATTCTCCTGTCATCCCTCTGAGGTAAGCACCATTATAGCCCTTATTTTTCGGATGAGGGAACAGAGGCACGGAGAAGACAAATCACGTGCTTAGTGCTACATAGCTGGTAAGTGGAGATCTCGGGACTTGAACCCAGGCAGGCTAAATCCACACCTGCACGCTCCCCACAGGCTCGCACAGAGAGTGCTCATCTATTTGTTGATGGAAAGACAAAAAATCTGGGCATGTAAAATAGAAGAGCCAACGTGGAAAATGGTGAAGTTTGCTCAAAAACTAAAATTAGAGCTACCATGGGAACCAGCAATCCCGCTGCTGGGTATATATCCCAAAGACAGGAAATCGGTATGTCGGAGAGATGTCTGCACCCTCATGTTTATTGCAGCACTATCCACAACAGCCCAAATATGGAATCTATCCAAGTGTCCACATAAGGAAAATGGGAATTATATACACAGTGGGCTAGTATGTGGCCGTGAAAAGGATGGAATCCTGTCATTTGTAGCAACATGGATGGAACTAGAAGTCATTATGTTAAGTGAAATAAGCCAGCTACAGAGAGACAAATATCTCATATTCTCACTCATATGTGCGAGACTTAAAAAGTTGATCTCAGGCCGGGCACGGCGGCTCATGCCTATAATCCCAGCACTTTGGGAGGCCAAGGCGAGAGGACTGCCTGAGCCCACGGGTTTGAGACTAGCCTGGGCAACTTGGTGAGACCTCGTCTCTACAATTAAAAAAAGAAAAAGTTAGCTGGGCCTGTAGTGAAGTGGGCCTGTAGTTCCAGCTACTTGGAAGGCTGAGGCGGAAGGATCGCCTGAGCCCAGCAGGTGGAGGCTGTGGGGGCAAGCGTGCCACTGCCCTCCAGCCCGGGTGGTAGAGTGAAACGCCAACTCAGGAAAAAAAACAGTTGATCTCGTGAAAGTAGAGAGTAGAACAGTGGTCACCAGAGTCTGGGAAGGGACGGAGACAGGAGAGGGCAAAGAGAAGTTGGCTGATGAATACAAAAATACAATCAGAAGAAATAAGTTCTAGTGTTCAACAGTACAGTGGAGAAATTATAGCTAATCGTACTTAATTGTCTATATCAAAGCAGTAGGCCAAGTGTGGTGGCTCACACCTGTAATCCCAGAACTTTGGGAGGTCAAGGTGGGAAGATTGCTTGAGCCCAGAAGTTCGAGACCAGCCTAGGCAATATAGCAACATCTCATCTCTACAAAAAAACATTTAAAAACTAGCTGGTATGGTGGCAGACATCTGTAGTCCCAGCTCCTCGAGAGGCTGAGGCTAGAGGATTGCTTGAGCCCAGGAGGTTGAGGCTACGGTGAGCCGTGGTCATGCCACTGCACTGCAGCTTAGGCAACAAAGTGAGACCTTGACTCGAAAAGAAAAGGAAAAAAAATTAGCTAGAAGAGAAGAATGGAAATGTACCCAACATACGGAAAAGAGAAGTATTAATGTGACAGACATCCCAATTACCCTGATTTGATCATTATACATGGTAGACATGCATCAGAATATCACATGTACCCCTAAAATGTGTACAGCTGCACTATTTCCAGAAGAAAAAGAAATAAAATCAATGCCTGCATCATTTTTTAAAAAGAACAAAAATGACCCTTGATTTTAGCCATGCTTTTCTTTTCTTTTTTTTTTGAGTTGGAGTCTCACTCTGTCGCCCAGACC